TGCATCGACCAGGTGAACGGTTGCATTGTAGCAGGAGTGCAAGAAATTATTAGGTGAGAAGAGACGCCGTATTTACGAGGCGTATAACGTGTTCTCAGACCTCCGTGAGTCCAATGTGGTCACTCAAGACGTTTAACCAATCAGAATGCGATACCAGTGCGTGTAGCCACTGTTGATCACGGGAATAAGCTCGGGTTCAAGGAAGTCTCGATTGGTTTTGTGTTTTCTTCTGATTGATGGAGAAAGTGCCTTGAGATTATTTAGCTATCACAATGGCCCAAACTTTTTGCGTAGTTCCCACTTTTGTGTCTTTTACACACTTTTCATTTCCGCTCGAACTCAATTATCGCACAGGAAATAAGAATCTTTAAACAGTCTCTTGTTTCCCGACTGGTCATTGTGAGATTGTACGGAGACAACCTCGTTTCCACGGTTCTCTGTTACTCGTTCCTACAGGGAAGAGTAGAAGAAGAAGAACCCTGGGAACGATTATGAAATTGGGGCGATTTTGTTCCCAATTACACCATGGGCTTATCTGGTCGTGCAATCGCTTATTTGGTCAGCTACTACAAAGTTGAGCAGAACCTAGGTCCAAATCCGTCCCCTAAAAACCGTCCCATCGGGCAATTCGGCTCAACAACGACCCAGTCTCGCGTGCAACCTTTAAGTAGCCAATCATTTTTTACATTTTGGCGGAAATTAAGAGATAAGATGGCTGCTGACTTGTCACCAGTCATCTTCGCGTGACGAGCACGGCGAGGGCAGAGGGTGGTGGGAAGGGAGAAGATAAGTCTCTCTCGATCTCCCGCGCTTTCCTCCTTCCCATCACACCCCGCGCACCACTTGGGAGAGGCTGTAAGAGTCGACTGGAGACGAGTCAGAGATGGCTGGTGGTAAAATTAATTTTTTTTGTTTTATTTTGTGTTTCTTATTCCTTCCTTTTTGTCTGGATGTTTTGACTCTGTAGAGAGAAATGTCATTTACTGAATATTTTTTCGTTCCCTAGAGTATATGATCCAGAAAGCCGTAAAATCGTTCAGAAGAATCTTGGGCACAATGATTCCGTACGCTGCATTATTCACATTCCCGAGAGGAGTCAGGTATTACTATAAAATAATTCATTTGTTTGTTTATTTGTTTTTTTGTGTGTGTGCTTTGGTTTGCGAGGGAAAACTGAGCGAGTAAAAACATAAATACCAAGCAGAAGGAGTAAGAGTATCGGATAATGATTTCGATATCGGTAACGGGTATTGAAAAAATCGGGAAAGGGTATCCTACGTTTAAACTATTCTTAGTGTTTGTTTTTAAGAGTATGAAAAATTGATCTATCCTGCGAGCAGAGTCTGCTTGCAGGGTAAAATTGATCTCAATTTTTTCGATATTTGGGTCGTTTATCGTAAAAAATATCATGAGAGAGTATTATCTCGTGTAAACAAGTGTTCTTTGTTTGTTTCTTTATTTGCCATAGTATGTTTCTGCTTCGTGGGATAAGACAGTTCGAATTTGGAACGCGTACAAGAAATGTAAGATAGTAGCTGTTAATTTTTGTGCTTTATTATGAATTATATTTTCTGAAAGTTAACTTACACGTGCACATTGTTCACAATTTCATTTTCTTCATTTTATTTTTAGCTCGCAAAAAACCTGCGAAAGAGACGACCGAATTTGCTGACTCCTGATGTGGATGGCTCAGTTATATAAGAATGGCTAGAAACATAATATTTACCTGCCTACAGTGGAGTTCTAAAATATCAGAAACCTATTTATATTATATTTCTTATACACAAAACTGTAAAACTGTAAAATATGTAAATATTAATTTCAATTCTATTTTATTTTAAATTCATTTTTGTATTATAATATACGGAAGAAAACAAAAAGCATGTAGTTACAGTTGGATAACATATTGTATCCATTCAAAGGAGGCTACACGATGCGTTATTACTGGTTTGCAACCACGTGACAAGGCGGCCATGTCCGACATGGCCGCCTTGTCACGTGGTTGTACAATATAATTTTTTCTCGAAGAATTTCCATGAAAATAGAGTTTAGTTCCAGAGGAGCGAAATGCTTTTGTTCTTGACCACTAACATCGCCGCCGAGATGTCAGGTAAACTACTGTAGCAATTCAGCCGTAAGGCTTCTCTTAAAGTTTAGTAAACGGTCAAGTAAGGATTTGAGTCATAGAATTCAAAGTTACAACACCGTTTGATAGAACCTAAAGGCTAAATTATTATGATCAGCACCACCGCAATGTAGTGCAAGCAGGTCACCTAAAATATTAACAACTGGCCTTAGCTGTTTGAAAGGCCGGTAAATAGTGTTATATACAGGGTTCTTTAGGATGATTTTTGGGTGGGGATGTGCCGCTGGGACCCTTGAACTCTTAGCCTATACCAGAGCTAGTTCAGCTTAATTTTGCTACCCTGCACTAGAAGTTACTTCCCAACCCCCCTACCCCCCATCCTAGAGTAGGTGTTTTCCAGAAACTACTGAGAACACTAGCACAGTCCAGCCAAAACAAAGCCGATTTGATTTTTTTATATTTTTGAGTAGGCTCGATTATCAGCCGCTGTTCGGGAAAATGATCCAAGACCGGACCCGGGAGACGGCGGAAATCGAGCCTAATTTTTGAATGGCAATTCCCTGTTTCCCTAGTCTAGACTAAAATCTTCAACCAATTGATCAGTTTCCGGGAAAATGATACCCTCTTCTAGACCCAAACTCTCTGATTTATATACCCTATCCTAGAGTAAACTGCTTGAAAACCATACCCTTTAGAGCGGCACATTCCTATATAGCCCATATATGGCAGTACCCCCCCCACCCACCCCAGTCCCACTGGATAGCGCAATTGGTTTCCGGAACAGTTATTCACTGGATAGTGCTTTTGTCCGGTAGATAACACTATCCAGCTTTTGAACAACTGAGGCCTGAAGAGTGAGATCAAGTTTTAGTTCTTCTGATGAATCAAAGGTACACCTTCTTCGTGTCTTGCTCTCTTTAATCTGGTAGTGACCCAGTGAATCAGTTTTATTAAACCCATCATCAACCGAACGAACTGCGACATCAGTAACAAGGCAAGGAAAATGATAAGCGTTAATGGAATGACGCCCAGTAGAATCGCTTCGGCCCAAACACAGCGGTATACATGTTGTTTTTGAAGACCTTGATACTCAGTTCCTGCGGAGTAATACGATGCTACTCCGACATTTAATATTGCTATGACTACCAATGTTGCCAAGGAAACCGTCTCGGCTAGGTGGGCCAAGTACTTTGCAAAGGGCTTTGTGTGGAGGTGGTGTAAAAGGAAGATAAGACACGTGATGGCAAGGCACACAGACCGTAGGAAGGTTTGAGTCATGAACCAACCAATCAGGATTAAGATAAATCGCCTGCCAATCAGGATGCTTTCCCAGTAGATCTTGCCTGGTGTTTGGTCGTCTTGGTTTTGCTTGGAAAATGGTGCGCTTAGAACTTCAAGGATAGAGGCCTCTAAAGAACATTGGAGAGATGTTTCACGATCAACAATAGACGACTTTGATTTCAGTTCTTGGGAGAAAAGCGGCCACTTTAACGCTTTCTTTAGGTATACAACACCGGCATAAAGCAGGTATGGAAGAGGAAAAACGCAAGCCAGTAGAAACTTCTTCGCTGAAATTTGTCGCCGATGTAGGCGCAAGGAGCCGTCATAAAGCATGAATATAAAGGGAAATAAAAACAGAATAATGACTGCTATAGTGCTCTTTTGCCACCATTGATAGCACGTGATTTCCGCGTTGTAGTACCATCGATGCACGTGCTGTATTTCTACACAGTACAGTAGCCTCATTGTGGTCCTTGTCACTGCTGAGTACCCTAGCAACACGCTCTCAAGGATCGCTCCCAGGTATGGACCTTTTAAGGGAAACACTGGAGTACGCTTGCGCAGTTTGTTAAGCCCGCTGTGCAGAAGGTAAATAAACAGTATTGCCAAGAAAATTGCCATGACGACAAACACTTGAGTCAGCGTTTTGGTCAGCGGCGTGAGACCTGCAAAAGGGCAAATATTCCAGTCGCTATGAGGATATAGTTTAAAGTCGAAAATGCTTGTTATTGGAAATACAATCTTATCTGTTAATAATTCTCCTGCACCATATGATGGAACAGTCAACAGTCCTGCAACTTGATAAAAATAAAAGAGAATTTTCAGGTAACCGTGGGAAGAAAACGATGACGTAGCTATTGCTTTCTGTCCATTTTCCGATTTTTTGACGTCGTGGTAATCTTTTCGGCTGTTACTTGAGATGAACCATGTCAACATTTTCATTATCTTTTGAAAAACTGGAGGTTTACGGATAAGGTAAAACGCGAATAACATTGCGCAAATGAAAAATACGATCAGGTACCAGAGATGAGTGCATTCCTCGTCCCGAGCACAGTTAGTGTGGAATAACGCCTCGCTGAAATTCTCCTTACAACTGCCACAGAGAATCCCTGTCCGGTTACCTTGACAACCAGACTTCTGATAGCTTTCATTGTAGTAAGGGCAATTTTGATTGACAGCTGGGCAGCAGTACCCATGTGGGCACAACTGAAAATGTACCGTGTCACCCATGGGGTACCCCCAGAAATTTGGCCTTGCCGCCACTTCCTTGGTACAGTTGCCTCCATTGGGACATGGTAGGCACTTTACGTTGTGCCCCATTTTTAGACCTCTACTTGAGCCCCTTTTTATACTGTACGTGCTTATAGAGCAGGGCTTAGTTAGAATAGAGAACCATGTTACCCACGTGGTCTTCTTGTTAATGGTTTCCCAATGTGGAAAGTTATGGAATATCAGCTTGCTTCCTACCGGGGATTTAATTTTCACGGAATGGTCGATAGAAACGTTGTTTGCACCCTCAACAAAGATTAGACCTTCTCCGTCATAACTGAGGGGATCAGAAATAAACGAGCTCTCGGTAACACTTACGTTTCCAAAACTTGTAACCTTTAAGAAGCCATTATATGGCTGCTCTTCTGTTGTGTTAAAGATGTTAGACTTTTCCGACTGGTAAAACTTCGTTTTGAAAATTGTTAATCTGGTCGAACGTAGCTGAACTGACAAATGAGATCCGTAGGCGCCTCCAAAGTTGTTTTTAAAAGAACAGTTTTCAATTCGGACTACATCAGCGTTAACTATTGATAGCGCGCTTTTTGCGACACCAGAATTTCCACGAAACAGGGTGTTGTTCATGGCTACTATTGCACCTAAACTGATCACACTGGTATCCAGGCAATGGTCAGACATGCCAGAAATCTCTACCACCCCTGACTGGCAGAAATTGTCCTCGAAGGCACTCCCTTGAAAACGCAAGGAATATGGCGATTGATTCATAGACACGTGGAAAATATTACTTTTCCGTCTGCAGTTGTTTCTTAGGATCGAGACGTTGGTTAGCTTAAAACTTGCGTTCCTCTTAATTCCTGCGTTGAGACTTATCATAAAGTTGTCATTGTCGCTTATCAAAGTATTTTCCAAGGATACGTCACCCGCATGTTGAAAGAATAGGCCTCCCCCAAAGTTATGTTGAATGGTACAAGAATCGATCTTCAAGAACCCTCGGAACTGTACCAAAATGTCGTTTTGGGCGAGAAAACTGGCTTTGTTTTTAATAAACTTGGTGTTTTGTATTGCCACACGCGCTTGGGGTGACGTTAACAAAACTAAATGCAAGGTCCCTGTCTCTACAGCGCCTGAATTCCTAATGAATTCACAGTTAAGGAATAAAATGTCTTGATAAAGTGTTCCCGACACCATAACGTATAAAGCTCCAGCAACTTTGTGTTCGGCAGCATTTTCGATGAATCTAGTGTTTATCAGTATGAGATCTTTCATGTAATTCACATAAAGTGCCATGGCTCCACCCCCGCTAAGGCTAGGTGAGTGATCCACACTGTAAATTTTATTTCCAGTGAAATTTGAATCGTGAATATTGATAGTGGCATTGTTTAGATGGGAATCCATTGTTCCAACAGCCAACGCGCCGCCAGATGCAGCAGATGTACCAGAGCCTTCGTTTTGAATAAAATGACATCTTTTGATGTCCAGCTTTAGTAAAGTTAACTCAGTGAATGCGCATGCGCCACCGTTAATCCCAGCATTGGAGCGAAAAAGTGTCCTCGACATGAAAACGAGAGCTTCTTGTCTAAATCCTTTAACACTTAGGGCTCCTCCATCTCTATCCTCCATTGACTTTGCCATTTTATTTTCGAAAAACGTACTCCTAGTAATTTCAAGTTGAACCGAGTTTCCATCACGAATGTTGATAGCCCTGCCAATGTTTTGCCTGAAGTGAATCTTCGTTAAGCTTATGACAGAAGTGCCTCTGATGTCAATCACACTTTCTCTTGCACAGTTATTGTCAATACTCCCGAACTTCATCTGCATTATTATAAGCCCATTTCTTCCCGATCGAATTTCCATACATACTTTTCCAGAACAGTTGTTTCTTAAGACATTGATATTCTTTAAGTTAACTTGAATTTGAGCGGACAAGCTTTGCGGTGAAATACTCAGGAGCGCGCTCTCTAAGCTGTTCTTACGGAGCTTATTTTCAGTGAAGAACGTATCTGTTATGTTCAAGTTCACCGAATCACCGCGAATCTTGATACCACTGCCACTGATGTTGTAGAACGTGCACCCAGAAATACTAATAGTTCCAGTGAAACCACGTGAAAAATTAAGAGAAAAAGTGTCATTAGAACTATTAACAAACATGACCCCTGACATCTTAAGAGAACAATCGACAAGATTCAGGGAGGTATTTACGAAAGTGATTCCCTCCAAAAAGATACCGCCAGAAGAGCTGTTTCTGAAATCGCAAGATAATTGCAAGCTTTTGTTTCTACAAGCAAGAAAAGCTTGAGTTGTGTAGCTGGCAATCGAAATACCGGCTATGTGCTGTATGTGCATTCTTGTGTCGACATCGCAGGGGTATGGATCACGTGACGTTCCCGACCCGTCGATGTTGATGACGTCGCCTTCGTGCGCAAGCGTAGTTGCTTGGTAGATATATTTACAAGGGCGAGACTTTACTAGGCCACAACCGTCTTCAATAGTTCCATTGAGTCTAGATACGTACCACTGACTCGCAGAGACACCTAGTATTGAACCAAAGAAAAACACTGATAAAGGCATCTTTTTACCTTTTGTGTACCGGTATACTATATACCACAGTCCATCATCCCAGGGAGTCCATCTCTTATGCAAGGCCTGGGTAATAGCGTCGAAGACATTCAGATTACCGTTATAGTTTCATCTTAAGCCCCCCTCCCCCTCCCCCCTTTGCGATATTTTCATCTTGGCTTGCTGGACCCTGCGGTTGTTGGAATCTGAAGTTTATTCGGGCGTACTTTCTATTCAAGATGGTTTTTATTCCAATTTTTTTTACAGTCTTGTCTTTTGCCTGACCTCTTATATGAGTTTGTCACACCACGCTTAAATGTCTGTGGGGCGATTACAACTTCCTCTTTAAAGACTCGGAGTTTATTTGGGGAAGGCTTTTTTGCTTCCGGTACAGCGTTTCCCACTCCTGGCCCAAACGTACTTTAAAAAATAAAAAAGAAAAGAAAAAAAGAAATCTCTCAGTCTCCCCAGGCCCCTCTCCTCCACTCTAAAAAACACAAAATAGAAAAAAAAAACCAAACAAACAAAAGGAAAAATTAAAAAAAAAATTGGGATTTCTGTTCTGGCGTAGCGTAATGGTGCTCTCCCGTTTTCTACGAGCCTGCAGGATGGTTCGTTTAAATATATATTTTCTGTTTTATTCTTTTGTTTACTTCTTCTCGCCTTGCAGTAAGGATCAGTTTGCCGATTTATGAATTTCACCTGCTGTTGTATTGCGGTCTTTGCAAATTAACGCCGCTTGGCCTCTTGAAGCATTTATCCGTTTTAAACGTGGCTTATCAAAATACATAGACATAAGTAATCAGTCTACAAATGAGATCTACCCACCAAAAAGCCAAATTGACTGACCAAAAGAACAGCCGAACATCCATTAGTAACCGATCGAGTCAACGAACTCCTTCCAAATAACATTGTCGATAATTGTTGCTTTTTATTTCTGGAACCGACCCACGCCGGAACTAGCCAGTTTAACTTGAATGTTTCCCGATATAACAGGTAACTGCTGCCCGTTTTCCGGGGAAAACCCCGTCACGAGGACGGACCGAGGTGGATCACAAGACCTTAGATTCGGACCTCGCCCGTAAATTCTTCAACCGTAAAATCATGCGCGAAATAATAAAAATATAAGCCATATACTAATACAACTTTTATGGCAGTTAAGTGTTATATCACTAACCAAGTTTAATACTAAATGGCGTTCTAAAAGAAAGTTAGAAAATCCGGTTAGTGCAAACCAGAAAAGGGACCGGAAGCCGGGTTCAGATAATGTGGGTCATTTTTCGTAGTAGCTTATATACGTCAAAAAACAAAGGATGCTCAGAAGGCGTGGTTGCTAAACGTTCTGTTCAGAGTTGCAACTTGCAAAGAAGCACAATTTAGCTGTTTATAGGCTATGTGACGAGAAAATTTAAATGTTAAAGGGTAATTCTTGCAAGCTATGCATCCCTCTTTGGCGCCTCATCTTCATGACGACTGCCTAGAAATTATAGAGCAACTGCATCGCTGTCACGAACAGGTTAGTAGTTAAACGTGTTGTGCTGTAAACACGTGCCTGCTTGGCCATGTTCTTGTGCTGTATACAAATTTTTTTTCGCCTTTCTTTACAGCATCCTGTTGGGAAATTCCTAGGCGAGTGCAATGATATCAAAAGAGCATTGAATAGGTGTTTAAAAGAGGAGGTATTTATTAAAGTCTTTTTTATCTGATATCCATTTCGCTTCATTAGTTGAGGGTAGACGTGTTATGTAATTCTAACTTTGAGGGATGAGGACGAAATTCTCTGGTTTTGCCATATGGTAATATTTGTAGTAGAATGTTTATAAAAAGAGGTTTTAAAATTTTGATTTTGAACATTATCAGGGGTGTGAATGATAAATCAGTCAATAAATTATGTTTATAAAAATTAACAATGATGAATAAATTGAGTGGTTGTTCATCCAGCTCAGCCCTGACTGAAATTATTGAGTAACAAAGTGTGACGTAACAGAAATGAGAATTTGTGAAATTATGGGATTTGTTGTCATCCTCTATGAGACTAAGATGAAAAATGCTTCTGTACCAAAAATCAGTGAGTTTGCACCAATTGATGGTGAGATATTAGCATCCTTATGTTTTGACAACTGCATGCAAATCCTTCAAAAGCCAATTTTAGAGGATTGGTATGGAGTCTTAAGTAACTATCTCTGTGCACATATTAGGTATAAGCAACAGGTCTGAGAGTAAAACCTCACCAAATTCATACATGTAAAAGTAAAGGGAGAGTGTCAGTATACTGGCCCAACTACCAATCACATGTACCATCTCTGATCACAATAATTGTTGACTCTTTAATAATTATTAGCCCAAGTGGTAAGCATTTCCACGCAAGTTATTGCACATCTGCAAGAGTTTTCACAATAACTCAAGTGGATGAGTAATAACTACAGCCAAATGGTTGCTACACAGGCTTCTTGCCAATTCTGATCCACACTTTATTGCAATAAAATATAATAATTTAATATTGTTAGTTTTATACCTGACTATGTCCCCTGGGGTGACAGGCAAGGCTGCATGTAGTAATCATGATGCTAAGAACATTATGTCTCCAAAGGAGACAAGGTCTTACTCGCGCAACATTTATGGATCTTTAGATATTGTTCTATTTTTTTATGACAGGATTTAAGAAAAAGAAGAAGAAACCAAGGAGACACAAAAAGAAGAAGAAAGACACTACAAGATTTGTGTTCAGAAAAACAGGAATAAACACTAGGATTTGTCAACAGAGTTGAACATCAGAGATGCCTCATTCATTTACAATTCAAGTAAGATAAGAGATGTTTGCATTCAGATGATAACCTATTTACAAATTACCTTCTGAAGCATTGCTCTTTCTAGATGGCATGTTTGATTGTCAAAATACTCTTTTCTACAGTTTTATGAAAATTTTTGTCAACAGTACAAATCACGGCAGAACATTCTGAGTACCTTTAAAGTCATGCCAAAGGGATTACTATCAGACTGCTGGAATCTTAGCATGTTTTGCACTACTAAAATGGGTAAATTGTGAGGAGCATTGTCATAAATCATACTTACCGGTAACTAGTACGAGTCACAGTTAAAAATGAACAATTTTTGTTACTAGAAATTGAATTTCTTTTTGTGATTACTTGTATGAAAATGGTAACTAGTATCAAAGTCTGAAATGTTACATTTACAGTATTACCATTGTTAATACTGTCCTTAAAACTTGAAGCATGTCATCTTTATAGTCTGTTAATTTCAGCAGATCTACTTATACAGATACATGCTCAGAAGAAAACCCATTCCAACAATTTTGGGTAACAATAATATTATTGTTGGTCAGCAACAAATACCAAAAATATTTGGTAAAAAACTAATTTTGTTAGACCCTAGTAATGCTAGTTGTTGGATGTTCAGCGATGTTCTTGCACTGTTGAGTTAGTTCCTGGGGTAGCAATATTGAACATTGCACTGAAATAATATCACAACATTGTTGTTGCCTGATATTTCTTGCAAATGACAGCAACTGTAATCTTCAATCATAGGTATCCCTAAAGCTCTGAAACTATTAAATCCGGGGAGCATAGTAGCAAGTTTCTTTCCTGAATAGCTTATGTCACCAGCAGGGGTCATCTAGCACTGCTGGAACACAGCCCTGTTGTTGTGTGAAGGACTCGGCTTAATATGATTGACAGGTATCTTGCAGTCCAGCGATCCTCACCGCGTAAAATAAACGTAAATATTTGAATGTCATTGATCCTTAATTCTTAATAATGTGGCGGTCCATTGATGCAAAATTGATTTTGACAAAGAAAAAGAATAACTTGGAATACACTTCAATATCTTGATATACTGGGTACCTTCTTTGAGGTTTAATCTACTGAAAACGTTATTGTAGTCTCTACGATAACTGAGGAGCCAAAGAGAGGCAATCAGTTTACTGCAACAAGCTGAAATTAACTGAATTCACTTTGCAAGCTTATACCCAGAGTTCTTTTAATTTGTTAACGTGTTCCTAGCGTTCATTTCAATGTGTTAACTCGAACCAAGTAAAAATTCTTCCACAATGAAGGGCTGGCAAAACATTAGTTGGGCTTTTGTGTTGTTTTCTTTACAAGTAGCCCAATGGTAAAGCAAAGTTTTATGGCTTGTTAAGAAAAATAACTGACTGAATACAGTTTGGGCTAGCTTCTTGGAGCCCAACCAGAGGCTAGTAAACTGAGTTGATGTCAACTCTGTCAGTCTGAATCGTAGTATTGAGGCAGCCTATAAACTCAGCATGTATACTCTGGGTTCTTGCATCCTGCCTTGTTGTGTCTCTTTCAAAGGTTTTTCGTATTGTTTTTGTCCATTATTTTACATTTTACATACTATTTACATTTTCCTTTTTTAATGCTTATGAATAGAACATGAAGATACTTCTGGGTTTCGAAATGGAGAAAACCCGGGAAAACCTGGAATACTGAGCAAAAAATTTCACCCAAATACTGGGTCACATCTTAATACGGGATACTGATAATGAGATCTATTGGGCGTCTCCACCTCCCCCTCCTTTTTACTGGGATATGTAAGTCAGTAAAATAATATTCATTATTAGCATTCACTGTACAACAGCAATTTGATCGGATACTTGAATGACTCGTAGTCAATCAGTTGATGCCACCCGTGTTGGAACTAACTGCGTTGTCCTTATTAGCAGAATAGAATAATTTCTTTTACCATGAATAAGTTCGTCAAAGGATTCTTGTCTTTGCTGGTAAATGGAGAGAGTTTTACTCTGCATATGGTACTGCTAACAGGGATTGGCGCCAATAAAAGTGGTGCGTACTGTAACATTTTTATTTATTTACAATGATTGATTTTATTTGCTAGGATGGTAAAGGGTTCGAATTTTGTTATTTTCTCTACTGTAGTTTTGTTCACTTACAAACCTAACGACTTGAAAATGGTCATTTTGGTTTGACTTTTTAAGCTTTAGACTCTCGTTGTTATTCTGTATTAATTATCAAAAA